ATCGAGATTGACTATCATTACATCTAAGATAAGGTAATGTCAGGTGTTATTTTTACTCTGCACATTGTCTTATCTCATCAACTCGTGAATGTCTTCACCAAGAGTCTTGTGGGAATCTCTTACGACGCGATGTGCACAAAACTAGGCATGTTTGACTTATATGTTCTAGCTTGAAGGAGAGTGTTAGAATCACCCACTAAGCCTATCAGGCTCATTTTGGTTTTATTCTCTCAACATGCTTATTCTTCCTCCACAATCTCTACTTCTTCCTCTCTTTCTCTCTCTTTCTTCCTTTCTTCAATATAACCTCATGTACTCCTCTTCTTCAATACATGAATTCTAGAGTTTTCTCTTTCTCTTGTCAATAAGAGAAAATCAAGTGTTGTTAAATAGGTAGATGATAAACTTCATATAAGATTAGAGATATAAATGTAGGACTTTTTAAGAGTAACAAGCATTCCTAATGAAGTAGATGTCTATGTTGTAGCAAATAGTTGATAAATTTATTTTAATTTTCCTATAATTTCTTTAAGACTTGTTATAGCATTGGATCAACTTGATTATCTCTTAAAATATAATCCAAGTTGAGGAGTTATAATCAAGTGACTTTCGTCAACAAGACCTTTTGGGATAAAGCATTGGCTACTTGGTTTTTCATGTCAACCTTATACTAAATCTCAAAATCAAAACTCACGAGTTTAAATAACTATTAGGTATAACTTGTTGTTGCTCTAGTATACGTTTCAAGTTGTGAGTTGATGCATATGACAAATTTTCTTTGAAGTAGGCAATACATCTATTTTAACAATATTAGAATCACTACCACCAACTTTGATTTGTAAACATACTTCCATTTCTTTGACTGTTAGAACCTTTGGTTGAAGAATGTGATCAATTGATGGTGCTGTAAGAGGACAACTCTTATCCTCACATTAAATGTATCTATTTTAAGTTTTAAATTTTCAAAGAAATGTGGTAAAATAAGGACTGAAGCTATCATTAGTTCCCACTTAATACATCAAAATGCCTACTCAAGTACTGATCTACATATGAAGGCATATTTCTTTAATTGTTGTGTCAAGAGTTATGCAATCAACATATACCCATTGATAAATTAACATTAGTAACCCTATTAAGAGCAAAAATTATCATAACTCATTCAAGCTAGTGGGAGAGTCCACGTCTTTAGTCCATCATAACTTTGCCGATTGAAATCTGATGTCATAGATATTGGATTTTGATGTGTAAAATCACATTTCCTCATATTAACATGTAAATGATGTTTTTGGATTAGGAAAAAAAAACCTTAGATAAATGTTGTGTATGACTCCTAATTTAAGTTGAAGACTAAAATATCATCAAAGAAGATCAATACAAATGTCCACTACAATTCTCAAAATATTAAACTCATTAAAGCTTTAAATGTAGTTGAGACATTTGAGAACCCAAAAGATGTAACAAGAGACTTTAGTGCCTCTCATGCACTCAAAATATTGCTTTTTGAATATCTTCATCCTTCATTCGAATTTGGTCGTAGTCATACTATAAATCGACCTTGGAAAAAATAATAGCCCCATGTAATTTGTTAGGAAGTTTCTCAATGATTAGAATGAAAATTATGTCTAAAATGGTGATTTGAGTTAATGCATAGTAATGTATACAAAATATCTCAAGTCATCTTTCTTCTTGATAAGAATCACTAGGATCGAATAAGGGTTATTAAAGTACCAAATAAAGCATGTGGTGCACATTTTTTGTATGAGTCTTTCAATTTCTTCTTTTTGAGTGTGAGTATATCTAAAAGGTCGAATATTGATGAGCTTTGTATTAGGTTCGAGAATAATGTCATGGTTGATTTGATGAAAACTAAGTAATTTGTTCATTGAATACTTCAAAACATTGTTCATTGAGTCACTATTCCCATGATGTGTGGTTGGATGTGAATTTTTATTTTCTAAGGATAGCTTATATAACTATATATAGATTTAATTTGTTTTCTTTAAAATTTTTAACAACAACTAAAAGATACATATCAGCTATCTAATTTAAAATTTAGTGTGAAGAATTACGCATCATTGCCCCACCAATATTAATATTGTCTTTTGTTCCATATTGAAGTCAATCTTTTTCATGATGTATATCTCTTTTATATTGGGTATAATGTCAATGTTGGCTAAGGGTGGGTAATAATAAGAAGTCTTCTATTATTGTGAGGTTTTGTAGCTTTAAAATAATCTTATAGGAGATGTCAAAACTTTTAACCTTCTCGCATGTGTCATATGTCACTTGATATTGGGATGTAGTCATCATTAAAAGTCCCATTTCTTGGGCATTAGGTTTAGAAATAAAACTCATGGGTCACTCTTGTGTTTTGCAAGATTGTGAGGAACTTTTCTTGGATACAGCCATGTAATTGAAATGATGCTATGAGATGTATTTTTCAATGATAAAATGTGTTAATGACTCCATAGTTGCCATATCTTTGTCTAAGGTCTTTGTCAAGCTAGAAATAAGTTTCTCATTTAGGTGTCTAAATGAAGTCTTGATTGATGGCCAAGATTTGAAACACATGCTAGTAATGCTGCCTCAATCCATATTTATCATCACATAAGAAAAAAAATTATTAAATTTGGCGAGCCTGATTTTCAGAGGACGTAAGCATTAGGTGATTATACTTGTTTGGGCCTTTGGGCCTATCTTTTGTTATTTGTTGTACTTCCCTTTTTTTTTAATCCACGAAACCCACCATAACACTTGGTATATTGGTTGGGTCCCTTTTGTTGTTTGAGACTATATGAATAAATCAGAACTAGAAGGTTTAAAACTCTTGACCTTTTCATTTGATGACTAAAAGACAATATTTCTAGCCTCCGCCTTCTAGGTCATATGCATGATCACATTAAATCTCACATGAGCCGATGTCTACTATAATATTCTCAATCTTTTGAGAAAAGTGTTTTTAAAGAAAAGTTTGATAGATCACGTAGGGTAGCTGCTATTAGCTTGAACTCTTATTTATATTTTTGCCATTGATCCTTATTGTTTGATGTTCAAAAACTATTGATAGAGATAACTAGATTGATTGTTGTTAAATCACTCAAGCAACTAATGGCAAAGGTTCCCCTAATTCTTGAATACTTTGCATTCAATTATCTATTTAAATCATGTCAATGTCTTCCCTTCTAGATTGTGCCAATGATAAATCATTTTTGAATGTCATTCATGCAACAAACTCCACCCTTATAGATTTTTACTACTGAAGATCAACATCTCAAATTTATGATTATCGTTCTAGGGTTTCGTAAACAAGCTTGACACGTAGACTAAAGCTTTCTCTGCTCCATGAGGGTGCAAATCTTTGTGTTGAAAGCATGGGTAATCACAAACAATCATCTCATGTTTTGTCTTGGGGCCAGACAACCTCGATTGGACTCATTGATAGTCCCCCCATTGGTCCCTTTGACTAGTGTCAATGCCATCATAGAGCTCTTACAAGAGCAAGAGGAGTTGATTGATTAGCTTATGGAACATTTGGTCCAAGCTCAAAACTACATGAAACACAACGAAATCAAAATCATTGTGACATAATTCATGATGGAAAACCTAATTTTTCTTTGCATGCAGCCTTACAAACAACAATCGCTTACTTGACAACCAAATGGCAAGCTTACACCACATTATTTCCGGCCTTTCAAGGCTTTGGAGTGGATTGACCCAACAACCTATCGACTAGGACTACCGTCAGCAACAAATATACATCATGTCTTCCATATTTTATTCTTGAGGAAAGTCATCAGATAGCCGGAGTCTATAGAGCTACTTCTTTTTTTGCCCCGATGAGAACCTCATGCGGAAGGTGACTCCAAAAGACATCCTAGCAACAAGATAAAAACTGTATGGGGGTAGATATACTTGTCTAGTAGATAACCTTGTAGATATGGGGTCCATGTGAGAAAGCACTCACAAGTTCAAGCCGTAATTTTCAGAATTTATCCTTAAGAACAATGTGAAGCTTATGAGGGGAAGTGTCAATGCAACTCGCATCTGCCAATCATCCCTAGAAGGCTTAGACAACAACATGCAAGGAAGGAATGCTTAAGCAACCTGAGGAACATGGACCATTCTAACAATGTGTCGATGCTGGGACATCTTGGGCAACAACATCCAACAGTCCATTGCATATTTTTTAATGAGATTAGACATTTCAATCCCAACATCAGATGATATACAAAACCACCTACTCTATAGGAACAGCTAAAAGCGATCCCATGTTCCCATTGTTTCTTCTTCCTATTTCCCTTTGTCTCTTTCTCCCACGAAGTTGCCATATGTGGGTCTACTAATCTTTCTTGAATTACAAAACCATCTACTTTTGTCGTACAGTCATAGTTACATACACCCTTCTTTGATTCTTGAGGTTACTATTCTATGAGCTCCAAGGAGCTTCCATCACATACCGACGACCAGAGCAGGGCATGTGTTAAAATGATCCTGCTATTTGCATTGTTAGACAGAAAGTAAAGCCTTTTATGGCCAATTAATAGCCTTGATCCCACTTAGGTAGACATCCAAATTGGTTTTTTTTTTTTTTCACTGATTTAAGGAATGCTGTTGACTGATTTAAGTCAATAGAAAGAGTCACTGTCGGGCGGGAAAGGGTCGTTACTATTTTTGCTGCTTTTTAATGTTAGGTGACTTTCAATGAAATCCCCTCCTATTTATGCTCTCAAATGTAGAGAAGTGATCGAGGGCAAAATCGAGGGGCCCTTTCCTTGTCAGCCCCAAGGGAAGTGATCAATCATCTCCCAAGCATCCGAACTTACAGGTTCCGCTCAAAAAATAAAATTTTAGAAAGGAATGTTGTTGATCTTGTGCTCGAGGCCCTCCTCCATAGTCTCGGGGCCTCGTCCATTGACAGTGACATGGCTGCTACTTGTACACAGAGAGCGGTTTCTATATCGGAGATGTACAGGCGGAGGAGAAGGACGGGGAGGGAGCTCTCACCAGTAGTCGCCGCAGGAGCACCGGCCGTCGCGGAAATGGTGGAAGCGATTCACGTCCCTGACGAGGATCTCCCTGTTGGCGAACTTGGAAACGAACTTGGTGACCGAGTGACAGTCCTCGCAGAGCCGCAGGTTCTTGGTGATGCGGATGACCTCGCCGGCGCCGGAGTTGATGAGCCCGAAGGCCAAGGCCAGCTTCTCGCTGTGCCCCAGCAGGATCCGCTCCTTCTCCTCCTGCCCCAGATCGTACAACACGAACCTCGTGTCCGGCACGTACCCTTCCTCCTTCATCTCCGCCACCAGTTTGCACAGCAGCGCCAGGAGCTGCTCCGCCAGCGGCGCCGCCTCCTCCGCCGCCGTGAAGGCGTACATCCGCCGCCTCACCTCGACCCAGCTGCACCCCGGCAGCTTCTGCAGCTCCCGCGCCTCCATCAACTTCTTCACCCGGCCCACCTCCCCCCACATGCCGGCGCCGGCGTAGACGTCGGCGAGGAGCACGTAGTTCCCGGCGTTGCTCGGCTCGAGCTCGAACAGGCGCTTGCAGGCCCTCTCCGCGAGCTCCACCGCGCCGTGTATACGGCAAGCGCCGAGCAGGGCGCCCCACACCGTGGGGCCCGGCTCGATGCGCATGCCTTCCACGACGGCGGCGGCGTCCTCGAGCCGGCCGGCGCGGCCGAGGAGGTCGACCATGCAGGCGTAGTGCTCCGCCCGCGGGACCACGGCGTGGTCTCTGCCCATGGAGACAAAGAACTGCTGCGCAGCATGGACAAGCCCGGCGTGGCTGCAGGCGCCGAGGAGGGCGACGAAGGTGATGGCCGTGGGCCGCACGCCGGCGGCGATCATGTCCTCGAAGGTGCAGACGGCGTCCTCGCCGTGGCCGTGCATACCGTAGCCGGAGATGAGGGAGTTCCAGGAGACGACGTCCCGCCGGCCGCCGGCGCCGGCGAAGACGCGGCGGCCGGCCTCCAGCCGACCGCACTTGGCGTACATGGCGATGAGAGCGTTAGTCACGGGGAGGATCACGTCGAGCCGCCGGCGGAGGAGGTAGCCATGGAGCATCCTCCCCTGCTCCAGCGCCGCCAGGCTCGCGCAGGCCTGGAGTGTGCTGACCATGGTGACGGCGTTGGGAGCGTTCTCCGCCGGCACCAGCAGCATCTCCTGGAAGAGCCGCAGACCATCGAAGGCTCTCTCGTTCCTCGCGTAACAGCCGATCATGGCGCTCCAGGAGACGACATTCTTGTTGGGCATATCGTCAAACATATTCCGTGCGTAGGCGATGTCCCCGATCTTCGCATAGACGTCGAGCAGTGTGGTGGCGACGTGAACTCGGGGGACGAATCCATGGCGGAGGGCGTGGGCGTGGAGCTCCCTGATCCTTGTGGGGGCAAGGGCGAGGTGAGAGGACATGCCCACGCAGGCCTTGAGCATGCAGGAGTAGGTGAAGCTGTCGGGCAGGGTTCCGGCGGCCACCATCTTCCGCAGGAGCGGGAAGGCCTCCTCCCCCTCGTCGGCCACGGCGAGGGCCCTCAGCAGCGCGTTCCAGACGAAGATGGTCTTGTCGCACGTTTCCTCGAACACCTGGCGGGCGTCGGCGACGGCGCCGAACTCCGAGTACATGTCGATGAGCTTGGTGGAGAGGAAAGGGTCCTGGTCGAAGCCGTCGTCGACCAGGCGGCGGTGGACGGCCACGCCAAGGGAGGGCGCGTCGTCGCCACGGCGGCGTGCGCAGGAGAGGATGAGGGCCTCGAAGGTCCGCTGTGTCGGGTTCGGTTCCTTCGCCAGCAGCCGCAGCGCCTGCTTGAGATTGCCCTGCCGGCACAGGGACTGGATGAGATGATTGTTGCTGCCGACGGCCGGGGCGGCGGAATGCAGCGGCGCCGCCGCGGCGGCGGCGGCATGGTGGTGGCGGGGGAAGGAGGAGTAGACGCAGTGGAAGAGGAAGAAATGGGGGGGTTCGTGGTGGGTGGGGAAGAAGGGGAGGTGGTGGACGAGCGGGTGGCAATGGTGGCGGTGGGTACAGCAGGAAGCCCACATGGCCGCCCGCCGCCCGTTCACCGTGGGAATCGGCCGGCCAGGGGGGCCGCCCGCGGCATGACAATCGGCGGCCGACCTTGTCCGAGATGGTCCAGCGGGACAGGGCGGAGGTGACCTAACTAACTATGTGCAGAGAATGTCCACAGAAAAATTGATCCTTTTCTTCTTCTTTTTTAATCATATCTTCCGAATGTCTACAGAACCAGGGAAGGGATGAGAGCTTCCTGGTCAACCCTTTCCAGTAGAGGCATGGATGCTCCCCAATAAATGTGTCATATTTATATGTATAAACATATATCACGACTTTTTTAGTACCGAAATCAGACACCCGTTGACATCCAACAAGAGTACAACAAGACTCAAAAGAAAAAGTCAACCCAGAATCTTGGTTTCTCTAATCAATAATACTAGCAACTATAAAAATTGTGTGAAATTACTTACCACACCCTCTACATTCTAGCAACTGAGATAGAAAAAAATTGGGAAAAATAAAAATAATTTAATCTCCTCTCTAGGTGTTGCACAATTATGTTTAAACACCTGGCTGAAAAGTATTATACAAGTTACTCAAACATTCAATGTCTATGTTCTCACCAAGATCAGTTTCTGAATCATTCAAGCAAATGAACTTGCCTTTAAGAAAGAAAGCCCTTGAGTTATAACATCAAACAATATTAGCTTGTTCACATTTTATGTTAACTAAAATGTTAATTTATTTGTTTGAGCAAATTATAATATATTTCTACTTGGGTCAGCTTAAACCAACAATATATAAAAGATTAATGATGTGTTAATCTAATTTTGGCCAACATATAACTATGAATTATACTAATAAGATTTCAGGAAGATAGAGTAATGGATCTAGAAGAAGGTTTAGAAAATAAAATATCTTAGTTAAGTATAACTACTAAATCTAATTATAAGATTATTGAATAATTAGTTGAAACTGAGGGCCTTGTACTTCAAGAGTAGAATAATATGGGAAGATCAAACTATAATAAATTATTTTCATGATTAGATGCAGAAAGGAATTACATATGTCATAGTGACTACAAAGAACACTAACTCACCTCTCATCTTGGTTCATTGTGTTTTATTAATAAACTCAAAAGACAATGTTAATGTGAAGAGAGCAAGTACTAATAATATTTCCATTCTCTTAAAAATAAAATTATTGTAATTAAAGCAACCCTTGTTATGGATTTAAGGGTCATCAAAATCATCACTTGTGAACTCAAGGATCGAGGACCATCCAAAGATGAATCAGTTTAATAAATAAACATATCTCATATAAGGTGAACTAGTTTAATAAATAAACATGTCTCATATAAAACTCTCATCACCTAGGCTCAGATGGCTCGTATTGGAAGGCAGTGAATGGATTGAGAAACTGGAGAGAGAGAGAAAAACTCGATGAGGGATAAGAGGATATGGAGAGAGAGAATACAATAACCAAGACCTCTCCGGTCTTGGGGTCGCTGATGTGAGATGGTGAGTCTTCACTCCACACGGAGTTCTTCACGAGGTTCTTCCGACCTCCCCTTCCATGGTCACTCGACTTGTCTTTATAGCTGATGTCCTTTGGCATTGGCAACCACCTCCCGTCTCACGCCAATTAGGTCCAATGGGACTTGAGCCTTGCCATACTCCATCCCTATCAGGTCTGCCATAGTTCCCTACCAAATTCTATCAGCCACACACGCCTTTTGTCCTGCAAGCTCTCTTGTGCGGTTGTCCCTTTCGGTGTCTGGATCTCGTCTACCTTGCTTTGTTCTTGGGCTGAGCTGGCTTCTTCAAGACCTCTTTTCCTATGAGCCCATTTGGGTTGTCAGGATCTTAATAATACTCCCCCCCCCATTTACGCACCTTGTCCTTAAGGTAGAAATCATGAAATTGCCACTGAATGTTGCAGGCGTTCTCTCACATGACAGATTCGGGTGGCAACTTGTCCCAATACAACAACACTTTGGGACCATGAGGGCGGTAGCAGATATTCACAACCCAATTTGGAACCGCCATCCAACGCAGGTCGCCTTCCATATCTGCCCAAGGAGCACCAATTGTGGGGATTGATGTGCTTGACGTAGGTGGCCCCGACTCTTGTTCTTCTTCATAGCTGCTCATGCCGATTGGCGAGGATGTAGCGGGCGCTTGTTGTACGTCGAGGTTACTCTCTTGGAGCTTTTGGCCTGCCATAGTTGACCTTCGCTCATCAACATCATCAGCTTGGTTTCAATCTTTTGGGTCGTTCGCATCATCGCCTCTAAGCCTTGTTGGTTGAGGGTGATCACTTCTATCTGTATCTTCGGTCGTAGACCTTTACGGAAGTTGTCTTCTAGCATGGCATCTGACATGTCATGGTGTACACGGGACATTAGTTTGAACTGTTCTTGATAATCTTCCACTGACCCCAACTGCTCAAGTTTGAGGAACTATTGGCTGAGGGAGCTAGAGTGTTTAACTCCATAGCGTCCCAACAATCTATCCTTTAGGTCTTCCCAACTATAGAACGGTTGTTGGGATTCAACCCACTAGAGTTAGTAGAGGGCCTTCCCGTCCATACTGATGCATGCGTCTACCAGTTGTTTGGTGTTGTTAGTTGATAGGTAGAGAAATATATCTCCACATGATATATCTAATCTTTTGGGTCGGACCTTATGAAGATGGGGAACTCCAGTTATCGTCGGGGGTTGGGTTTCAGAGGCCCTCATGGGTGGCGGTGGTCAAGCAGTCCATTGTGGGGGTATGAGTTGGCAATGGATCCTCCCGGTAACAAGGGTTATTGGGCGGAGCCAGAGGTTGTTCTACACTAGTTTCTCTAGGGGGCCACTCCTTTGATGGCTCTGGAAAAAGTTTGATCTTGCCAACTTGACTGGGGGAAATGCCTACCTAACGTTGGATATTTTCCAGGATATGGGCCACTGACCCTAGTTGGTGAGAGACTGAATCCAATCTTTGACACATGTTGGCTTGCTCGACCCATATTACTTGAAGTTGTTTGGTGTGAGCTGTTAGGTCATTACTACTAAGGTGTTGGAACTCCTTGAGTTTTGTCAGCTTGAAGAGCTGTCAGCTCTTTCTCAAGAGAGTCAAGCTTAGGATTGGAGGGTTTGGGCCCCATAAAAGTGTGATTGTGCTCTGATACCAATTGATGACGACCTTTTGTTTGAGGTGTCAAAAGACGAACTAGTTTAATAAATAAACCTATCTCGTACAAAACGACAAGCACTCGG